TGGTAAATGTCAAATAAATATCTGTCGCTTATAAATAAATAAACAAAATCTTTAAAAACCAGATTTCCTTTATGTGGGAGCTTTCAAATCCTTGCTTCTCTCCCCAGGCTCTCCCTGGGGCACTGGGACCAAACCTGCCAGGTGCCTTGCAGGGGCTGGTTAGCCCAGGTTTGGCCACCACCAGAGCACTTCACCACGGCAAAAGGTGAAGTCAAACATTTCCTACTTAGCTAATAAATCAGCAGCTGCACTATTTCCCAGCTATTGCATCATTATTATTTCATGCCTTACTCTGCTCTGCAGGAAGCAATTTAACAGGCAATAAGAAGGTCCCTGGGGGGGTAAGTCAGCTCCACCCAGGCTCTCTGACAACATTGCCCAAAGGTAGCACTGGCAGAACAAGTCACCTCCCTCCTCCAGAATCATTCCAAAATCACCATATCCCTGGTCCCAAGGGAAAGGCAGGAACAACCCACTTCTTAACGTCGTTTATCTGCCTTTATGAAGCAAGGGTCACTATCTGTCTTTACAGAAAATGCCAGAATTACTGCAGAAAGAGCCTTTATGCTGAAAGTTGACCACCAAGGCCTCCCAGCAAGCTAATGAGTTGTTAAGGGCTCAGCCAAGTGTTGAGAATAGTCTTTATCCACCTGAGTCTCAGGTGAGCCTGCTTGGGCACAGCCCCAGAAGTGCTGGCTGCTTGGGGAGTTCAGGGCAGACTCCCTGCTGTTAAGGCTGGGCTGGGGAAGGACTGTGAGGAGGTTCTGGCTCACACCCCACTAGCAGCTGGAGGTGAGGGACGGGCTCTCTGCTGGGTGTCCTGCTGGGCAACTCCCAGGAAAAGTGTGAGACAGCTCCTCAGCTTCCTGCAGAGGAGGGAAACAAACCTCTTGGAGATGCTTTGAGGATTAGGTCCCAAGCAATCTCTTAAATATCTGTGACGGGTTTGTTTAAAGACCTCTGTAGCCATGCTGACTCTTTTGACTGCAACAAACAAACAAACAAACATCTCTCTGCACCTGGTGGGAGGGTGATTTCTGATAAATTTTCCAACTTCAAAGCACATCACTAGTCTGGATGCCCATGGAAGTCTAGATGCCCGTTCTCACATGTGCTGCTCATCTGGGTTGATTTCAGCTGCGGTGGTGAAGGGAGCAAGGAGGTGAAGGGTCTTTGCTGAGTGGAAGCCAGGAAGGGGCTCTGGCACGAGGTCGGGTAGAAGGTTGCACAGCTCAGCAGCACCGCTCTGGCTGTGATATCTGGGGCACCTGGTGTCATGTGTTGGTCCCCACTAGCACCAGGATGCTGGGCAGTCCCTCCTTCCACCCACTTACCCCTGCCCTTTAAGGACTGTGCTCCTCTTGCTGGGTCAGGGAACTGATCCAGCTGAAAAGCAATCCCTTTTTTTGCTAGCTGTGGTTTCCAGCAGGATCAGCTCCTTGAAACAGCTCACCATGGGCTTCTTTGCCAGCTGAAGGCAGCGCTCTGGGGTGAGGTGCAGGGGTCAGTGGGGTGGCCTGCACTGGATCCACCTCCACTGCTGCACAGTGGCACCCTCAGCTGCTTTGAACCGTGTGGATTTAACTAGCAGAGGACTCGGAAAATTCACCCCACACCTGAAAACCTCGTCTCTCCCTGCCCATGTCACCCATCTGAGGAATCTCTGTGGCAGCCAGTGCTGCTTAACCGTCTGCTTCCTTGGAAGCTGCAAAACCTGAATTGTGCCAAGGGGATAAAAAAGCCTCAATAACTCTCAAGAATTATTCATTTCCAGGGAATAACATTGGTGACCTCTAAAAGTGGGCCTTAGGTTATTTTGGTGTGTTTGCTCTCACTGACAAGGGCACCTGTTCTTTTGTAGTGCTAATGTAGCAAACCGTAGTTTAAATATTAAACACAAAGCTCAACCTTTAGTAGCTTTAGTAAAGTTGTTTTCTTGCACTCGGGCAGATTTGCTGGATCAACAGCACAGCCTAAAAATCCAAGGTGTAGAAGCCCAGGCTGAAGGCACCTGAATGGGTTGGTGCCATACCATTACCTGCAGCACTGGGACCCAGCTGTGAAATGCTGGGTACCAGTGGAAGGGGGATGTTATATTTCTCCCTGGCTTCCCTGCAGTTAATGTATTACTGAAAGCAGGGGATTTAATTGCCTCTGTCCTACCAGGCAGCTAATGAGTGTTATGAATGAGTGTTATGAATAATGCCATGTCTTTCCAGCCCTCCTGAAGCCGTTCACCAGACCTGACTCATAATTCAGCTCAAATGAAAAGGCTGCCAGTTGCTGTGTGTTACCCTTCTGTTCATTTTTCAGACTTCTTTGCTTATTATTCAATCTAGTCTTTGGAATAAAAGGGGGGGTGAGGGGATGTAGAGGGGGTAGTAGCTTTTATTATTTCCTTAAGATTCCTCTTGGTTATGTGGCCTGCAACAATCTTCTGTTGTGTCTGCAAATAACCCTACTTAGGGAAAAAAATCCCCCATGTTTGTATGACAGGGACAACCAGCCTGCTCCGTGGAGAGGGCTCGGCTTTGGGCAGTCACGGTCCATGGCTGGAACAGGAATGTGGGGACTCCAGCTCCTTTGATCCAGCGCTCCCGGGGCACGAATAGGACACACAGAGCTCAAAGGCAGAACATGGCCTTTCTGTAGCAGTTAAACTCCCCATTCAGAAGCGGAGGTACATCCAAAAATACTCCTCGGAGTCACACCTATCTCCCGAGTCTTTTCCTCCTTTCCCTTTGTTCCCTCTCGTTGCCTGTCACAGCTGCACCGCCTGCCCCCCCTGCAGACCACTCAGATGGTGAGTGATGCTCTGTGTCTATTCCGTGACAGCAGCATTCAAACCCACAAGGGAGGCAGCAAGAGCAGCGTTTGTCACCTGATCCTCGGCTCTCTGGGCTGCCAGCTGACTCAGGGGAAGGCTTGCCTGCCCCAGTGACCTCCTGTGCATGCACAAAATGCTCCTTTTTCCAGGGAACACTCTTTTTTTTTGGGACACGTGAGAGCCACGTGTCTCTCATCAGCCACACAGATCCCCTGGAGGATGGCATGTCCCCCCAGGACCCCCCAGATTGTATTGCTGGAGTGGGTGGCAGGTGGGATGGGAAGAGGAGAGAGGATGTGGCAGAGACCTGCTGGAGGGTCTGCTAGATTTCCCCAGGGGGAGGTGCCACTCTTTCAAAGCCTCTCCTTATTTTGTATGTGTTCCAGTTCTTCCCCAAAGCAAATTGCAGAGAAGGACAAGAAAAATGTGAAAGGGAGAGAGCCCCAGCTGGGACAGTGCCCACCTTTGAGGACAACAAGGCTTGTGGTGGTGCATCCCTCCGGGCCCTTGGGCCTCCTCTAATCTCAGGAGCTCCTGACAAGCCCTGACTGTACCTGTTGGGCTTCCAACCCAAACCATTCTATGATTCTGTGAAGTGTCCTTGACCATACCAGGCGCTCTTGCATGACACGTGTGGGAACAACACTGACAGTAACAGGAACATCAGCTGCTTGACCAAGGTGGGGAACAAGGGTGTCAATCTCACACAGCCTTGGAACATCCCCCATCTGAATCACAGCCCAAGTGCAATGGCACCATTGTTACTGGGGTTTTGGAAACAATTTCCCAATGTTTTGGAAACTCTGGTAGTTACCGATCTGAGGATGGAAACTTACTGGTGACTGAAGGCAAATCACTTTGGGAGCCCACAGTGTGAAGCCTTTTGAGCTCTCCTGGATCACAACACCTGTGCCAGCATCTCCCACTAAGTGGGATGTCTCTTGGAGCTTGACGACACTCAAATGTGGGTACTCCAAAGACCATCACTGACGAGGCCTGGGCTGATATCCACCTCCCCCCACACTCCTCTAGGGGCAATCCGGGCCTCTTGAGAAATATTAAAGGATCCAACCTGTGTCCCTGAACTCAAGGGGAATTTTTGAAAGGTACCTTTACACACCTATAGATGTAGATAAATAGATCTATAGATAGATACATAAATATAGATTATGGTATGAATGTTGTTATCGTGAATCTGTAATTAAGTCACTGCTATAATTGTAGCTAATCCTATTGAATCACTTCATAAATGTTATATTAGTCAATGATTAAGTGCTGCTCAACACTTCTTTATCCTTATATTTTTGTATCCATATCCTTTGCCCTTTTGCATCTCCGATCTCTTTGTAAATCATCCTAAATTGATTCTAATCTGATTTTCTTATGTGTGCTTCATGCACGTAGTAAGTAATAGAGTCAACCTTGCCATTGAACTTCAATAAAGTTGCACTTTCATATATTCATATTAAAACCTGCAATAAAATGGGCAATTAGGAGAAATTTCTGGACTAATAGACCTCATCCTTGTGGAAGATTTCAACCTCCCAGACATCAGCTGGGAATACCATACTGCTGAGATGAGCAGCTCTTGGAAATTCCTGAAGTTTGTAGGACATAACTTCTTAACACAGACAGTTGAGACAACTCCAAAAGCTGCCCTCCTAGACTTGCTGTTTGTGGAAAGAGGAGGACTTGGTGTGGGATGTGATGGTAGGTGGCTGCCTTGGCCAGAGCAATCATGAAATGATTGACTATAAAATTTTCAGTGTAATGAGAAAAAAGGACAGCAGAGTTGGTACCCTGGACTTCAGGAGAGCAAACTTTAAGCTATGCAGGGAGCTGTTTATAATACAGTACCCTCAGAATCTGCTTTTGAGCACTTAGAGAGTCCACAAGTGCTGGTCAGGCTTTAAGAATCACCTTTTAGAAGCACAGGAGCAGGTGATTCCACTGTGTTTTGAGTCAAGCACGTGGAGCAAGCCAGCTTGGCTAAAGAGGGAAGTCTTTGTGGAGCTCAAAAGGAAAAAGAAATTGTATGATCTCTGGAAATGAGGTCAGGCTTCTTAGGAAGAGTACAGAGCTGTAGTTTATATATGTAAGGAGGAGACAAAAAAGGCCAAAGCTCAATGAGAGTTGAAACATCACCAAGGAGGAAAAACCAAACAGACCCACATTTAGGAAAGGAAATGTATTTTATTGAAAAAAAAAATTACATTTCACTTATACACCATGAAAATACTGAGTTGTGTGGTTTTTTCATAAGAAGAGGTTAAGACTTGCACAAGAAAACCACATTCTTTATTACAGCATTACTCCACGAGATGAGGCTCTGGTGGCATCTGCACTGGGCGTTTTCACTAAACAGTAGAGCGGGGCTAAATGTGCTTTGGGCAAAAACCCTAAATATTGGCCTCTCCCAGGTGCTACTGCCCATTGAAGACATGGCACTCCTTTGGTCAATACTGAATTATTTCTGAATTAGAGACAAATCTCAAAGTTTCTCTGCTCACTTAGGTCCTAGGCAAATTCACAGCTATCCCTCCCCTCCACTTTTAACAATCTTGATTTGTGTTTCACACTCAGCCAGCTAAAAGCACATTAAAACAGCACACAGGCTGTCATCCTCCCATCTTCCAGAAAGAAAACAACACTGAAAGGGACACACTGCACCAACAAACACTAACAGCAAATGGCAAAATCATTGTATGGTGCTGAATTCTCCAGTGTTTCCTTCCATCACTGCAGCTCCAGCAACAAGCCCTACGGTTCCCTTCCCTAGCAAGGCAGGTAATCACATGCAGCACCTCTTGGGCACGTGAATACCTGTGCTGTACCAAATGCAGGGACAGGAGTGCCCGTCTGCAGGTGGCACCCCAATGCCATCTGTCACAGGTGTGTCACAAGAAGCCTGCTGTGCTCCCAGGCAGCTGAGACAGGCTCTGTCACACCACTTGGCAAGGCATCTTCTGAAAACCCCCTATGAACCAGAGACCTTTGGTGTGGAAAGATTTAAACATCTGCAGACAAAAATAAATGCTAATGCCACGTAAATTCACAGGTGAGTTCCCTTATTAATCTATTGATTTATTAATGTGATTTCTTCTTTATTTAAAGAAATTAAAGAGCCGGACCTGGACAACTCTGACACCATGCACGTGCTGTGAAAGCAGACTTGAAACTTTCTCCACCTGGATCTTCCTATTATATTCCCTAGTTAGAGCACTGCTTTATTCAGTGCCATTTTCTACTCTGCTAGGCACAAGCACCACACAGGTCATTAAGAACAGCCACGCCAAAACTTTTAGTGCTATAATATTTCTGCCCTACAGGGAATGGGGCTGGATTGAGGACACCAAAATACTAAACCTGCAGCTCTTCTTTCAAGTACTTAGCTCACAAAGATTTCTTTCCCACTAGCAGTGCAGCTCTGCAATTAGGCCCTGCTTACCCAGTATCTCACTGCCAGGGAAAGAGGCAACCACATTCTCCCCCATTTTGAGCAGCTGCATCGTCCCAGCGCCTCCCCAGCAGCAGCAGAAGCACTTATCTGTTCCCAGGATGAGAAAGTTAAGGGAACTAAAGGAGATTAAAACCTCAGGGGTTTTGACTGCAAAAATTCCCCATTGGTTTTAGCTCTTTCACTTCGCTTGTTATGGGGACAGGCAAATACCAAGGCCAGGACAGGTGATGGCAGAGGAAGGTTAGGGCACAGTTTCAGGGTGTAGCTGAGCTGGGTAAGTTAGATATATCACAGCAGCTGATAATTCTCTACCTTTCTCTTCTTAAAAACAAGAGCCTAGCCTGAATAATCTGAATAATGGACTTTCAGAGCCTCTTGGTTCTCCACGGCCTATAGAAGAAGTACAAGGAGATTACACTGTGGCCAGGAAAGCAGCACACTGTACATCACAAGCTTTAGAGTGCACACAGAGTTGTGCTAAAGCACAGCTTTGGTACAGCCCTGTGAAAGAACCAGCCCAACAACTTCACACCGACCTCATCTCGGAATAAACTCCTCCGCGTTTCCCCGGAGGGAGGATGCAGGCAAACAGTCACTCTGCCACCAGCACCACAGGGATACTGTACCCCCAGATTCCCAGGGGAGGAAAAGCCAGGCACAGCGAAGCACACACAACAGAGCTGTTCCCTGCCACAGCCTCTCTCTACGATACATTATTCATCCCAGTGACGTTTTTCCTGCTGACTCGGCAAAGCAGAAGTACCTCTCTTTTAATGCATCTGGAACTCGGGAACTCTTGAGAGAAAAAGTTGTGATAAATTCTCCTCTACTTTTTGCAGTTAGTGATTTATTCAGAAGGGTGGTGAGGATGCTGCCATGTTTCTTAAAAGGGACATGGTTAAGTGATGCTCGGTTTTCCCAGATCACCAATGGTTGTGGCAGGAGCGCAATGTTTAGCAGAGGGCCATGCTCAGAAAACTCCTTTATGTTGCAGACCTTGCACTTTCTAGAGAGACCAAAAAAATAAATCTATCTGGACAGTTGTGCTTTAGCGCTGGTCTGCCAGCCATGAGAAACAAAGACTCAGTTAAGTCTAGCAAGACATAAAAATCACGTTCTGGTTTTGAACCACGTGAACAGCTTTGCCTTTTGACTGAACGGGATTTTATCGGTAACTCAACTCTTCTGAAAGATATTCATGAATTTGAATTCAGAACACCCAACTAAAATTCTTCACATTATTACAGCTGGCAAACTACAAGGAAAAAATCTTTACTTTCTCCCCTTTAGGCTACTCATCTGTCTGTGCACATGTCCAGCACGAGCTATGAGTTACCTTAGTCAGGTCCATGCAATAAGAACAATCCAGTTTTGTTCCAGTCTCCTGGCTTGTACATTTATTAAATACTTTTAACACCTCCCAGTCTTATTTAATTAACTACACAAATCCATCACCAATTGTTAACCTATCACAGATGTATTTGAGACTTTATTCCAATGCAAAAATCTAAATTTCAGGCTTACGCCACAAAGCTCACCTGATTTTTAAAATGGATAAGGTAGCAATATTTAGGGTTTTCTTTATAAACAATGGTATCTACCATCCTATTGCCTCTCTCTACAATCAAGCGTACAAGCCTCACTGCAAGAGGGATACAACTCATAATTGCCAACCAGAAAAGTACACAAACACTAAAAAGCCTACAGTTTCATTAGAAATTAAATCATTTGCTATATTACACAGAACTTCATTGTTTTTCTGGCATAAAAGTCATTGAATTACTACATACGCCTCGAGGACAATCATTAAGATGTGTAAACATATAACAGGTCCACCTAGTCAGTACAAAGCACCACACAAACTTTAAGTACATAGAAAGTTTGCTCATAAATATTTCTTTGTTTAACAATTCAGCACTAAAAAAATATTACTTAAAAAGGCATCTTTTATTAAGTTATTCAGTTTGTCCAGGGCTGGTGGGGTTGTACTATCCCTACTGTATTACAGCCACCTGACTTTCTTTCCAAACCATTTTACTTCTCTGGAAGAAAAGGCTATGTGTGGCTGGGACCCAAAGCTTCAGCACAGTCTATAAAAATATATCTCTTTAAGACCTTCTGCTCACATCCTGAAGGCCTACTCAGCCAGCCCCCCAAAATTCTGTTTCCCACGCCTAACCACATTGCAAATAAAGCTTCAACATACACACACACACACACACACACGGAGTACATATATTACACTCTTCTACACACAGAGTTTTTCTAAACAGCAATGCAACCACGAGGGCAATAGGTAAGTGTGATTTCAGTGGTAACATATGGCACAGCCTTCTCATATTGCTGGTTTTCTCTCTCTGAATAATGTGCTGCCTTATTCACTGCTCTGCAAATTGGGGGTTTATTACCTTTATTTGCACTGTGGAGGCACTAAGTCAGGAATACATGCATATTTAGGAGCATCCCATTTGCCTCGAGGCCCACTGCTGCTGGAGCAGTAAAAGCACCAAACTGGTGGCACTGGTTTCCTGGTGAGGCAGACAGGAGCCTTCTTTGGCTGTTGGAATGCCACGTTCCTCCCTCCTGGAAAATGGTGAGAACTAGCTTGGTCTCTCCTGAAACTGTGCAGACAAAATAGCAGCTCCCTGGCACTCTGCATTCAATGCCCTTCCTCCAGTGTCTGATTGAACCTCATGGATTCACCTGAAATCTGCTCCCGCAGTAAACTCGCTGGTTTACTCACTTATTTAAAAGAGAAGAGTTGGGGCTGTGATTGAACATCTCAAAGCTTAGTTTCCATGGCTGATATATGTCTTTAATGGACGTGCTTTAGAAAGCTACAGAACTGTTCAGCAGGCTCTGACCAGGAGCAAATGTCTTTCATGAAGAACAGCTCTCTGAATATCTTATCCTGGGATTCTAACAGGAGTGGCCATTAAGCCAGTAAGGCTGCAATGGGATATAAAAGAAGGGGTGGTGTTTCCATTTATGAAGGAATATTTTAGTACCAGAGTGACCAAAATTTGTAACACACCTCAGCCTTTAAAAGCACTCTTAAAGTGGGCAAAGACCTTTACTCAGGAGGGGTGGTTCTTTAGTATAAGTATAAACCAAAATTCTCCAGTGGAGCTAAGTGTAATGACACAGCACCTTCTCCAATGACCAGTGCTCTCACTAACCTGGATCCCTGCTCTCTCCCTCTTGCAGGGACACTGCTGAGTGCTGGCAGAAGCACTTGTTCCCACATGAGGAACTACTGTTTCCCACTGTATAGTCCTGTATGCTCTAATCCACATAGTGAGGTAAGAATTCAGCAAAGGGGAGTGCAGCTACATTCTGTACAAGAAACAGATCTCAAAATGAGTTATGGTTCTTACTCCAAGCCCCTCTTTTCACCTTGTTTGCAGGAATAAAGAGCACAACACAATGAGCTCCTACACATACAAGTAAGAGGAATGCAAGAGAGTGGTGCAGAATGCCAGTAGTTGTCTTCCCATGAAACTTTAAAAAAAATAAAAATTCAGACAACAAGGATGTTATTCACTTCCACATCCATATCTTACAGTATGATGATTACAGGGCACAAATGTGTGCTCTTCCATTGACTACCCTTCCTCTATACTAGGACATAACTAAGGAAATATTTAATTACATCCACTTTATTCAGCAAGACTATAAAACCATTCTTGTGCTGTTTGATTCTGAAATGATTAACATATTTAAAAACAGGATCTAACAATTTGTGTGTGCACAGTATATTAAACGTTGATGCTTTTATTACAATCTTCCTTGCCACATATTTTAAAATAAAATCGATCAATACAATCACCATAACAGTCTCAGACAACAAATTAACACCATCCAATCAAGACACAGTTAAGATACTCAAAAGGCAGTATGAGTAGCTGGAAACCTTGGTCCTCTGATTCTTTTGTTTAACACATTAATTATAGAATTCTCCCCTCTTATGATAAAAATCAGCAAACAAACACTAACAATTCATACTGCAGATTTCTTAGATGTTTGTATCGAGTGGGAACAACACTGATTTTAGCACAATGTCTTTATGCACGTCTCCCAGAGGCATGGGAATTTTCCTGTAGAGACTAATCCGGGCCCAGAATAGAGTAGATGGTTTGTAAACAATTTTTGGTCTCTCCTGCACGTCGAGCGAGTGCGCTTGGAGCAATCAAAACGGCTGAGCACATGCACTGTGAACCATCCCAGAAAAAAGGGGGGACCCATCACAAAATCAGTTCCAGTAAGCAGAATGAAAGGAGTTGACTGGATGCAAACACATTCACCTCTCCCATGCCCACAGGTACTGCAGCATGAGGGATGTCCTGTGCCACTGACCTCACACGGACACGTGGAGTCACCAGTCCCGAACTGCTGAGCGCTGCACTCTGGGTTACAGACACCTTTCATGCTCTTAGGACGGTCATGGAAGATTATCCATTAGTTATAGACTTCACTCTCTGGGCTAAAGTGCTTGTTCTGTAATCAATTAGGAGCTAGGCTAGTTTAGATTAACCATTTATCTTTAACTAAAGGCTTGCAAGTGGATCAGACAACCCTGAAGAGTCTCCTCCGAGCCCTCAAATAAATAGTGGGCAGATGTCTGATACTGAGACACTTTCCAGCTGCACCAGACAGACAGCAGGAACTCAGAAAAAGATACAGGTGTTATATGCAGGAGGAGAGGAGGGAATAAAACATTGGACAGGACTGTGCTGACTCTTTGAAATTTTGTTCTGCACACAAGCTCTGTGCAACTCTGAACAAATAAAAATGCATCCAAGTATTAAGTATGTATACCTTGGCATTTAAAAACAACTGTTAGCCTGCTGTGGCTACAAAATGTTAGCTACAGATTATATTTACAGATAATTTCTGATGTTTGTTCCTGGCAAGAGATGTTAAGCCCGATTCTTCAGTGAAGACATAAACCTGACCTAATTTAGACGAGATCAGCAGGAGTTTAAAACAGATATCACATGAACAACGCCCAGGGACTTAAGGAGATGAAGCCAGCAGCCCACTGCTACAGGATCCAGCTACTGTGAAATAGGAATTTTGCAAATTGAGCATATTAGTATTAATATTCTTTTGTTGTTAACATGGATATGTCACAGATTCTAAGGAAGGTGTGAATTACAGAACTGACCCATTCTTTGAAGCAGTGGGAAAAGATCACACCTGACAGATATAAGCTGCTCCAACAAACGTATCACCTTCTCTTTTATGGCAAGATCACTGTTCATTATGGTTTACAATTAAAACCCTGTTTGCAAGGTAGCTTTAAGTTTTCTAAATTCCAGGCTTCTTTATTTCAGGGAAACAGCCCTTGTTTTTCTCTCAATCTTCTTGTGAAGGTCTATTTATTCTAGTGGCAAAAAAAAAATCCTGCTGTCTCACACTTACTAAAAGGGCATTGACCATGGCATGTACAGGTAGGGGAAGTTTAGTATGGTGATCCCTTCTCCCCAAAAGGATGGTAGGGATTATACACTTCCAGATGAAATAGTCTGATTTTAAAAGATAAATAAACTCATAGTTATGTCTGGAATATGGCACACAACACTTGGTTAATTAATGTTAGAAACAGTTAAAATCCTTTTAGTGTTCAACTGTTGAAATGCACCACTAGCTACAGTATTTAAATATCTTTGCTGAAAGCAATTATCTCAAAGAAGTTAACTGTCTTCCTGGCACAACTGCCCAAGCAAGCAGCAGCTTATCTGAGAAGGGGGTAAAATATTAATGTGAGCTATTTCCTGGCCCATCTGGAAGTTTGTGTGCTGCAGGGAGAAAAAAAAATTTGCAAAAAAAAATCTGCAAAGAAAGGCAGTTTGTTGTGCTTCACAGAATCACAGGATGGCTGAGGTTGGAAGGGACCTCTGGAGACCATCTGGTCCAAGTGCAGTAGGCTGCTCAGGGCCATGTTCAGTCAGCATTTGAGTATCTCCAAGGATGGAGACTCCAACACTTCTCTGGGCAACCTGTGCCAGTGTTTGATCACCCTCACAGTCAGTTATGGGTTTTTTAACGTTTTAAATGGATTTTCCTGAATTTCAGTTTGTGCCCATTGCCTGTTATCCCTTTGCTGGGCACCACTGAGAAGAGCCTGGCTCCTTCTTCACTGCTTCCCATCAATATTTATACACACTGTTAAGGTAGTTAATATAATTTTACATGTTGCATATCAGCCAGGAGCTCATATCTCTGTTAATGACTGCTAATTTTAGCAACTGTTCACATCACCAAAATTATTATTGCTAGAAAGTTATTTCATTACAGTGATTACTAAAAATGGTGGCAGTAGAGTCACATTTTGTAGATAATTTCTGTTGGTATTTTTTTCCTTCAAATTCTCGAGTCATATGATTTTTTTTTCCATTTTTATATCAAATGCATGAGAGGAAATAAAATTAATATTGGTTGTTGAGAGTGAAAGCCTGAAGTTTGGCTTTTATACTTACTGCAAAACACGTTCCTCTTAAATTTCATTTGTTTCAAAGATATTAAAAATTAGGGATTTCAGAAACTTATTAATTATGATAACTATTCTATTAAAGAAAACACATTCAGCTAAAAATTTACATCAAGAATAAAATAGTCTTCTACTAGGTGAAAACAATTAAGTTTTACAATGGCAGAAATTCATGACAATGATGGGATAAATGAAGACTTATCAGTTAGGCAGGTGTGAGGAGGAAGATAAGGGAAAGGTATCTGGGAGATACCCAAGAGTGAGTTTCCTCAGCCTACTCAGGTAATCAAGAAAAATTTTCCTCTAATGCAAGTTTTCTTCATGTTCCTGCAATCAGAAATGCAATTTTAATCCCTTTATGCAGCCTGAGACAAACAAAGCTCATCAACTGAACGTGAACAGCAGACCAGACCTCCCTCATCTTGGGACATCAAGAACATGGGTCCCATACAGACCTTGCCTGCCTGTCTGTCCCAGTGGTTCAGGATGTGGCTGTGATGTATTGGACACTGAAATTATTAAAAATTCCATTTTGAAGCTTTAGGAAGAAGAATTTTGAAATTCAGATGCATTACTAATAACAATGCATTTCTGTCATCTCTAATTGGCTGCAGAGACTTACATTATGAACAAGGTAATTTTCTATGTTTTGCTGCATTTGGTAAACATATGTAACTCACTAAAACCAAAAATAATACTTTTCCCACATTGCTTCATTGATAAGCCTGTCTACAGTGCTTACTACTGTTAAGTGGAAGTGCTCTATGTAGTTTTTAAGTACAAACCAGGGCAGCCAGAATAAGAGCTGCTTTCTCATTTGTCTTTAACAGAATGTTTGTCCTTAGTTAAAAAACAGAGAATCAAACCTGGCCTTGGAGGTAGAACTACAAACTCCTAACCAGTGCTACTGAATGAAAGTATTATCTTATTAATGAAGGTGTTTCTGGAGCAGCTTTTGGAAGAAAATCATGTGGGCACCCACGGACATTAGAAATAAGCAGTCAGTCCCAAACTGTGCAGCTGCTCACAGGCCAGAAGCAGGAGCAGAAATCAGCAACATGAATGACACCTCAAGGTCACTTCAGAGTACTGAACATGCCAAACATCTTCAAAGTACTCCTACACACAACCAGAACTTTGTGTGTAGCTTTAACCCTGCTTAGTCTCATAGCAGCTGAGATACTGAATACCTGAGTAGGTAACCAGGTATCTCCAGGAAAAGGGAGCATGGAGCCAGCTCCGTTGGCACTAGAGGCCATCCTGAAATACATTTTCCAGTCAGTCAAGCATTCCATTAGCAAATTCACATCTAAAGTCTTCGGCAAGGCAGGAGCATTGTTCTCTCTTGCCCTGGGTCATTACGCAGACTAAGTGACTCCGACAGCCATTTTGATACCTGGAATATGCTCAAATGCACACCAACTGTTTTGTTTTTTAAACTGAGCAAGGCCAGCACATATGTTTGAGAGTGGATATCTGCCTATGCTGGGCACTATTTCATGAAAGTCAGGTTTCTGTCACAGATCTAAGGCAAATATTACAATTTACAGGAAAGAAATGAGGACATCAATACATTGTGCGTTATTGGAGACGTACAGCCTTTATAACACGGTGGCTTTCACTATGATCTCTGGGTTTTCTATGTCCTTTTTGCTTTGGACCATTCTCAGTTCCAGCTGGGCTGAGTTTGGTTTGTTTCCTTCTCCAGCTTGTGCTAAAAAGATGACATCAGAATGTCATTAAAAACAGAAATGTAAAAAGAAACAAGTTGCATTTTTCTGTTATCCCACGATTTTCTCTAACCTTCCTCCCTTCCCTTCCCCAGTCTCCCTTACAACCCCCTGTTAAAGGCTTCCAAGGTACAAGATCCAGGTCAGCACTGTGATTTTCTATAATCCTTGTGCAGCACCTCTCTCCAGGCACAAAATACGGCTCTGCTGTTAATTAGAAAGTCACACAGACATGCTCTGAGAACCCAGAGATCCCATCTGGATCTCCTTAGAACTGAAAGACATGGGAAGTCCAAGGGGACAGAAGCTGAAAAAAATCACTCCTCACATGGCCAACACAGCAAAGAAATTATTATTTGCTGATAAACCCCTCTCAATACTAAACACACACTCAAGGGGAAAGTGAGTGAGCTACACTTAAAACAGAAGCCCTCTTGCACGTCAAACTTGGCATTTCCTCACATTCTCCTGCCTCTGTTTTGCAGAGCTGAGTCAAGCACAGTCAGCACGACTGTGGTCCCACTACAAGCTAAACAGTGACATCTTCAGTCGGCTGCTGTCAAAGGCTTGGAGGACACAGTCAGGAACATGCAGACAAGACCAACAAGCTCTCATCCTGCTGCCTCTGCACTGAAGGCTGCCTTTAGTCAGGAAACCCACAAAGCTCTTTTAATGTTTCTTCTGATGCAAATGCAGACAGAACACGGGAACAAGGTCTGAATGAATTACCTTTTGCACTCTTAATGGTCCTTTGCAGAACATGCTGCATGGCTGACACAGTCTTTTCACATGCCACCTGCATCAACATAACATATTCAGGTTTTAGTAAAACTTCAGCTGCCTAGTTTAATATTACTATTATTTTAAAAACACGGCTATTAAAAGGCAAACATGACTGATGACACAAGCAGGATGACAACTATGTAATGTAGAGTTTGGGGGGAAAAATTTTTGACTTAATTCTCTAACCAACTGAGCTAATTCTCCCAAAACAGGTATTAGAAACCACATACCCATATTGAGGACTCTATGTCCTTAAGGGAAAGGAACAGAAAAACAGATCTGAAAAATAATTTTCAGTGCTTATGAGGATAAAAAAATGTAATTACAAACATGCATGCAGTCTCCCTCTCTAGAGAGAACAACATCTTATTTGGCAAAATTACAAAATCAATCCAACTGAAATGCAAATGCAACTGTTCAATGCTCCTTTTGGCAAAAGGGAAATTCTGGGTTTTTTTCCTCTGAGGTGAGGAAAAAAGCCAAAACAGAAGACAGTCTTTAAATAATGTCATAGATTAAAAATCATAAAGAACCCAGAAGAAACATGATCTAAACTTGCAGAGAGATGAGTAACTTCTCCCACACCTTCAAATTGTTTGGATGCTTGTGTGTCCATGCCAGAAGCATAGCAGCAAACAGGTCTCCAGTTCCAACAAAGACAGCATCCACTTTAGGAGACTCCACTCGAATTCTTTGTGTTATCCTGGTACCATCTGCTTTAGCTATAACACAAATAGACAGTTAAGTAACAGACCCAGCAGCTAACACTACAGCATTTACTAGAATTTAACAAGAAATAATTTTAAAAGTGATCATCAGATTTGAATTCTTCTGTTGTTTGGAATGTAAAGCTGCTAAGGAGTATTGTAAACTTTGTACTTTAAAGGAGAGGGGTTTTAAAAGGCACAACCTTCAAAAACTTGGCCAACTTGGGGTAGCATTTACAACTTATATAGTCTACATTCTTCCTTTAAGAGGGAGGAGGTAGATAGCACCTTCATTTTTCATTCCTCAAAACTGTGCCCTTCTCAGGTGGAAACACTGTGTGACAGTCTGAAACATAGTGAATCTTGGTGATGGAATAAAGGGGGATATAAAGAAGGAACAGAAGGATATTTTATAACCTATCGGGGGAGGAACAGTCTGCTAACAGTACACTGTAACTTTTCAGAAAAGTATTCAAAACATTCCAAGTTCCTGTTTTATATCACCACTACTCTCGGGGCCACTACTAGGGGCTGTAAGAGCCCTGATAAAACTCACCCAGGACATCCCCCACCCTGCACCCTCTGCCCAGGAGCTGCAGAGAAGCTCAGGCCTGGGCACAAGCTCCCTTGCCTGAGCTCTGTTGTAGGTATTCCTGTGTTCAGCCCTGCTGTCCTGACTTAATGATTGCATTTTCCAGATCAATCTCAGACCTGGCTTGTCTCACCTTCCTCTGATGACCATTGGCCTCTCAGTGGGACCCGTCCTGCTCACCTTATTCAGATACAGTGGGTCTGAGTCTTGTGGGTGTTCTGCCTGTGCTGTGATCACACTCAGCTCCCAGCTTGTCTTCCCTCATGGAGCAGCCCCAGTCTTACCACTCCTTGATGTTACTGTAGGAAAAGCTGCTCCCTTAGGGATCTACGCTCCTTCCATGCACTACAGATGGGTGTGATGAAACTGCTTCATCAAGAGACAAGTTAAAAGAAAGCACAGTCAAGGGAAGAGTTCATGACTTACTTTTTCTGTGGCTTCCCAGAGCAATTAAGTAGTCATTTCCCAGAGGTGCCTGTAGATCTGAGCTTGTGATCACCACAGTCTCTGGTCCCATGGCATGGAGCATATCCATTACCTTTCCATGTACAAAAAGGCAGGAATCAGTGACTGCAGTACATGTTGGATAAACTTTGCATCATGCTTAGGATTTTTGACCAGCATCTTATTTTGGCATGTTTTGTAAAGAGAAAAAACAGTTTCTGCTCAAATAATTCACTTGCATTAGGGGCAGTACTTTGATATAGGGGAATCAAAACATCCACACTTAAATGTACACACTTGTTAAAATATACAAGTGTCTCTGTTTGTGTTATCTTTGGATGCTCCTCTGAAAAGAACACTCTGTTTCAGCTGTGATCAGATTTTCTGCCTGCATCATGTTTTCAGAACGTATCATCAAAAGAACGGGAGAACAAATACACAGACATGTTCACCTGAGCTGGCATCTTGAAACACTTGTTAGAAAGCCAACAAGTCCAGGTCCTGAAATCTTATTTAGCTACTACTTTAAGAGTTAGCAAAAATTTCAAAAGTTAAATCAGAGGTTCAAGTGTGTCTGTCTCAATATTCCTTTCTCATTCTGTTTCAACCTCCAAATTACACTTGTAAATTATATACCTTTGCATGTGTATTTTCACTCTGTGTGTTCCTCACTTAAACTCATAAATACTCTACTTCTGACATCACAATTGGTTACTACAGAACGAAGTGATTTTGATTTCACAGAAGAAAGAATGACTTCAGTAATGAGTTTAGCATAAAACACAGATAAAATATTAATTCTCCCAGCAGAGTTTAACTAAAAATCCTCTCAGGCTAGCTATGACTCATGAGCAGACGGATTTATTTCTGCTATTTTTTAATTCTCTATTGCTTTTCTTTCTTGTCTAAGCCTCCAGGTTTCTTCAACTGTCAGACCTCTTTGCACAGACATCAGTTGGGTTTTAAGGAAGCAATAAATCCACCAGCACACACTGACATAATCAAACTGTGAAATAGTATTAAACTAAATTTCATTTCTCAGTCACAATTCACCAAGAACCTAATCTCCACTATTTCTAGTCATAGGACTTAGTCCCTTCTACATTAATATTACATCGTATTTAATTTTATGTTAGATGACTATTCTGTCATCACTAGTCTTGTTGAAGAAATGAAAGCGTGTCACCATGGAAGTTGATGCCAGAATTCCTACCACCTCAAAAGGGGACAAATTCCAGCATTATTACTGAGAAAGACAGACCTATATATATGACATGCAGCTGGGGAGACAGACAGATTAATATCCTGCAAGCAACTATTTTAAAAATGCTTCCATTCCTAAATATAATTCCACCTCTTTGGAAGAGATTTTTTAAACCCCGTCACAAATAAATGCTATCACACCAAACAGTCTGAAAACTAACTTGCACAACTGTTCAGCACATGCAACTTGTGTTTGCAGTTGAAATACGCAAATCTAAAACCAGTGGCTGCCCAGCTCATGGTGTTCTCCTCAAGGCCATGGTTCCACTGGTGAGGATGAGAATGGAAGAACTGAGTTGCAGTTAGTGGCATAAAGCACAGCTCATCACCCTCACCCAGCACAGTGGGCTAATGTAAAACTGGGGGCTGTAAAACTAGGGGGGGAACTAAACCAGCTGAGATGTTTTTAGATGCTTCCTGCAGTGAAGCAGTGGTAAGCAACCCATGTTGTCTGACGTCGCTACAGCAAAAAAACAACAAACATTTGGGCTGACAGAGCCCCAGCTACTCTCCAGGGTGCCACTGCAGCTGCTGTTTGTTTAAAGATTTTGTGTTCTTTTGAAGTTCAAAACCAAACTGGAAGGAATAACATCAGTCCCTTATGAAAGCACTTGACTAGTCAACAAAACAAAGAGCTCAGCCCTTCTCAAGACATCAATAAAACCACATTCCTACTTTGTCCTTCACCACCAAGCCCTGCAGCTTTTTATTTTCTTCAGTTTGTATGAAAGGGTAAATCTTTACACCTCGATGCAATGTATTTGCAGGCCATCTATCATCTCTGTATGGCAATGACAGCAGCTGTCAATGCTGTGGATTTGTCTGGGAGAAGGAGGAAGAGCTGTCCTCACACTCACACATGGACAGCAAACAGAGAGACCCGAGCAGGTTCCTGATGCCCAGGGTCACCCGGGGTTTTCACCCCAACCAAAGCATTTCCACAGCACTGACAAGTGTCTGGGTACTTGCCACATGTGCTGCTGCCTCTCTTCTTACACTGCAGGAAAGCAACCTCACAGAGATCTGCTCATTACCAAGGTAATGGCTTTATCTGTAGCTTTTTCTGGAAGTTTCTGTAGAAGTCTGACACTAAAATAGGAAACGTTTTGTGTCTGGAGCACATGAACTTTATCGATAAACAAAAAGAAAGGATGGAGGTCAAAGTGACTTCAAGGTTAAAGACAAACTGCAAACTGCAACACTGCAGGCAGGAATGCAGAAAGAGATCTTACACACCCTACCTACCCTTTCCCCACTTACCTCTAAAGCATCTTTTTCGGTGTAAATCTTCCTGCCCGTGAGTAACCTAAGAATGAAACAGAAATCTTAAAAGAGCACAAGTTCTCCAGGCAGTGACTGCTTTGTTTATCCTTTGAAAGGAGGAAACCTTGGACTGCACCAAACAGGCCTAAACCTTCTGTAGCTTCACGGTCTGCTGGACCAGACCTGCTGTCTTTAAAGGTTACGTGCACAGACACACAGTGCTTCTGCAGTGGACTCACACCAGCCCTAACCTGCCTCCTCTAGAGATCCCTGTACCACAAAAATTCCCTTACAAGTGTCTTCTCTCCATCTCCCACGTAGCTGCTCCCTCCCCTCAGGGGCACAGCCTGTGATGTATCACAACAGATTATCTCCTGACCAAAGAGTCACAGTCCTATGTAGACAGGACAAGCAGCAGGCATTTAAATTCTTAGCTCCTATGAGATGTTGACACGGTGGTATTTCTGAATCTAGTTTTGGGGGGGTTGAACCCAACTACCTCAGTTTTGATATTCTGACATATAATAAAAGTTTCCACAGTAATGGGTAAGGATGGGGAAGGTATTTTTTCAACCTGTCCTAGATACAGGCCTCTGGGGATAACAAGTAGTAATCATGAAAATGAGAGACTGGAGAAAACAAGAAGAATCTTTTCCTCACATAACTTCCAGATTTTTTATTGATTTCAGTATGGAACATTTGAGGTTGTCTGAAAAGCACCGATTGAAAGTAACAGCTAAAAACCAAACCCCAAAACATACATACGTAAGGCACTATAGTGAGACAAATAAAATAATGGGGTATCGGCCTTCCCTGCTTTTGTCCCCATGTTTATTTGGCTAGAAAAGGAAATAAGCACTTACTCAGCTTCAAACTGGTTAGGAGTAATTATATCTGCAACAGGTACAACTTTGTCCCTGTAGACCGGGAGGAGATCCTTGGGCACATACTAGGGAAGAAGAAACAGTGTCAAATGCTGTCAGCAGGATCTACGATGTGGGACTGCAACCCTCCCTCACTGCATTTTTACTGAAATTATTTGCTAGTTTTGATCAGAAATGAATGTTTGTCAGTGTGCAGCCTGGTATTGGCACATGGAGCTTTTCCATCACTGATCACAGCCCAATCCTAACTGCTGTGGGATCCCACACAAAATAACTCATCTTCATTTAGGTTCCAGTGCTGTGTCAATTCACACAACAGCTGACAATGCCAGCCAGGCTACCAGCCAAAACAGAGCTCCTGACAGAAGATGAGGGAACTCCAGTGAGACAGGGAGGGAGAGCATGGGGATATTTTCCTGCAGACACGGTCTGTATTCCCTCTGTTGTCTCAGCAGAGAGCCTGAAATGATCCCAGGGCTATGCAGCTGTCATTCCTCCCACATACTAAACTCATTCAAATACAAGAAATTAAAGCACAAACTTACTTACTGGGATTCAAAGCCACACTTGGGTAAAGCAGCTCAGTTTTGGTGTTTAAAAATTAATAAATCTTTACACATCTTTATAAAACAAACATTCACTGCACAGAGAATCCAAACAGATGAATACTAACCATAGAGCCTTCTCCATTCCATTTGTCACCCATCACTGGATCACACACTGTAATAGAATAAATTTAGGTTTAGAAATGGGGTACAGTTATAGAGACCCTGGTTGGAGGGAAAAATTCTAGGTAACAGCACTGAGCACCTCATAGCTTATATAATTTCACAGCTCTTGCAGCACACAGCCTGAAATTTGTAACTGGTGGCTGCCAATCCTGAAAGAGTAGGCCATGTCTTAAACAGTTATCAAGTTGGGATCACCCTCTCCTGCCTGCTTCCATGTTGTTATGTCTGAAGATGATGAGGATGAGAGGATCTGAGTGCTGGGAGTAAAGGGCCTTTTGTTATGGAGAACACAAAGAGCCCTCACCTTCACTCCCCAGCCTAAACTCTGGAATGGTAGTATGGTGGGGAAGAAGTGTGTAAGAAGCTAATAGCTCTGAAAAGAGTCCCATTTCTACTTTAGTGTAAAAAAATACATGCCAAATGTACACACCAAAATGCTGTGTGTATATTAAATGAAAAGTGTATTATAATGAAACAATAAGAAAATCCATGCCAAAGTACATGAATTCATATTTGGTGTAGTAATATTAACATGTGTTTGGGATGGGTTCTGTATCATCAGCAGTATTAACAATGTATTCCAAGTGTCCTCAGAGCATGGAAACAGCCACAGTGTACTTCAAAAAGGAACATTGTTCATTATATTAAGAGAGCCTTTAGCAAGATACAAAAGAAATACAAATCCAATCAGTATTTAAGGAAGTTTTTCTGTGAATAAAAAGAGGGTAATTTGTTTTACATTTTAAAAGTATTTTCCTTACATTATAATCTATTTATTAAATATAAAGGGTCTTAGAAGCCTAGCTGTGATCTCGACATCTGACCTCTTCCTTCCTGTTCTAAACAGTGAGATGTTCCTTTCTACTCATATCCCAACAGTCCTTAGTTTTCATACGAGGTTCTGGAGAATCTGACAATGCAACAGTGTTAATAAAGACTAAAAAGCAATAAAACCCAGTGAAGATCTCTCTGCTACATTTTGCTAAATGAGCACTGTGCTTTAAGTCATCAGCAGTAGACACCTGCAAATCCTGCCAATCTTTCTAAATGTTTCCCGACCACACAGTTTACTGAACCTGAAGATGACAGCTAAAAACCATAATTCACAGCTTTTTATCCCACTGAATCCTCCCTGACCTTGCCCTGTCACTCTAAACATTTTGCTCAATTCAAGCCTACACTGGTTATGTTCAAAAGTCCCAAAAGAGATTCAGGAAGGACACAGATTTAACCCTGACGTGACATGTTAATAAGGACAGTTGCTAGAGCCTGTTGCTCCCACATTTTTAGCAGAAGGCACCAGAGCTAAAAAAGCTTTGGAGTTCAAGGTAAATCATGAAGCTTATAAGGCAAAGTAAGACATTTATGGGATGTTACATGAAGCCATGGCAGGGCAACACGGGAGAGTCTGTCCCGCTTCTGACTGACTGGGAAGTCAGGGAGAGGCTTCAGCCATCAGCACATGCAGCCTCTGAACTACCACCAGCAGCAGCTGGCTGGGATTTTTATCCTTTCTTGGATGCAGACAGTCAGTCCTCAGGGCACATTCTCGCTTGGACAGCGTAATGCAAGAAACATACCGAAAGGCATAAAATCAGAAAGATAAAAAGCCAAGTCCCTCAACACTTAAAGCTGAAATGAAACACCACTGGAGCCTCAGAGAGCCCCCAAATCAGAGGAGAAGATGGTTGTGAAATGCTGTGTAACATCAGAGCAGTGTTGTCATCCTAAAACAGTAAAATGAATAAAATGAATAAAAACACAGTGATGAAACAGAAAGGATTATAATGCACTTCCTTACCATATACAAGGTTGGAATTCTGTTGCTTCAACTCCTGGACAATATCCACCACCATTGCAAGAAATGATGTGTCTCTTGTATACCCTTTGGGGGAAAAAAATAAAAAGAAAGACATTTCTGAAGTCTATTTTCATGAACACTTCTTCTGTTTTTAGTTTTGGATAGGAATGCTGCATACTTCTCATTCTTTGGATAAATGCATTTTTAAAACAAAGGCATTTCAGTAGTTCATTCGAGAAAAATCGGTGGGAAACAAATTCAGACAACTACAAATATAACCTTAAAAATCCATTTACTAAATATGTTACATATGAAGGACTCATACAATTTCAAAATGCTTGAACATATATAAACAAAGGTCAGGCTAAAAGGAAAAAACCTTTCCTTTTCATCAAAGCAGCAGTCTAATAAGTATTATTTATGATGTAGTAAATATTTTAATTTCCATATACTTTTCTCATACTCTGTCTTAAAGCAATTTTTGAGTTATTATTATTAATGTTGGTGCTGATAAAGTCTAGCACACTAATGCAATGGAGTTTTAATTTTGAATATTTTAGAGCAATGGCCAAAGTATCAATAAAATTCCTGTTTTTTAGGCTTAGCAGTGAAAAAAAATGGAAATAAATTTTACTATATTTTAAGGACTTAATCACATTGCTAGCACCACAATATTCTTATTTAATAATTAATTTCTTTATTTTATAGATGTTTCTTAATTTATATATTTATATATTAACTTCATTTGCAGCATTTATAAATTAACAATTTTATTTTAATTTATTTTAGTTCATTCAATACGATTATTTTTAGCCAGGTAGCATCTTCAAACCTTCAGCTTGGAAATGTCCACTCTACTAAAATATTTAAAAGTGCATTTTGGAGATTTTTTTTTTAAACTTGCAAAATTGATCAATTCTTAGATGTTGCAGAGAAATGGAAAAAGCTTCTAAGGTTTTTGGCCAAAATGCTTTGTCTTACATCTATGAAATGTGATAATCAGGAAAAAGAGCCAAGCAAAGATTTTTGTTATAGATTGGCTGAAAAAAAAAATACACAGCTTGGTTAACATTATTGACAGAGGTGTTTAAAACAATTACACTGAATTGGAGTTTATCTCCTACCTTGAGTCTTTTACTGTAAATGAAACAAGTACATAAAGATCTACAAATAACAACAGTCACAAAAGTTAACGGAGTGTTACTTTGTCTAATTGGCTTAAAGACAATAATTTCCATCTCAGCCAAGATATCTACAGTCACCAACTAACAATAAAATCCTGTCAGTTGAGAAATTAATTTGTTTTCAGTGTGTAAATAATCATATCCAGGTTGTTGGAGGTACAAAGTAGTTGTCCACTATAGTGAATGGCTGTTCCTGTTTGAAGAGAAAAATCTGACTTTTGGCCCTGAATGAAAAAAACCCTGAATTTTAAGTTCAGTCAAAGTGCAGCTGAAGAATAAAACACTGGAAGTGTTATTGGATATTAAGAAATTACTGACATTTTTACCCATGCCTTCTTTTTGTCCGTGCTGAAAACGTCTACAGCGAATGAGACGTTAAAACAAACTTGAACAACAACTGACCCATCTACCCACAAATCCTGTTTTAAAAGGCATGTTAATATAAAGATTCCCTTTTTCTCTGAAATTTCTTTTTGCTGAAGATTTCTGTTTTTCCTTCTACCACTTTTAATCTCTTACAACCATTTTGCCAGTACAGGACCATGATAGAAAGGGTGCAGAGGTCTCTTCCAAGAGTTGGAAGTAAAATAAAAAAGGAACATTTCAGCTAAAAGAATACTCAAACACTATTTAGAATTTTTGCATACTAGCATCTCCTGAAAATTCCTGCAATACAGTGTGTTCTTCCTGGAAATGTCCTCTGAGAGAGTTCTTTCAAGGAAAGAAAGGGTGTTCTGCTATTTCTCAGTCACAAAGAACTCATTTATGCCAAAATTAATTTCTTAACCTTAGTTCAATCTATTTTCTATTTAGTCTCCTTTATTTTGGAGATACTCCTTGCAAAAGCCCTGACAATAATCTTCAGACATGCCACACCCTTCTAGCCAGAATGACTGCTGTGGAGTTACAATCCATACACTTGAAGCTTCCAATTTTCCCTGTATATAAGGAACTTCCTTACATGTGGAAGCCATGAAATCAATTAAATCTGGTTATATATTTCTGCTTACCTTTAAAAAGTGACTGTTCACTGCTATAAAAAAATGATACTGTAATCTAAACCAGATGCACAACTCTTACTGAGGTGAAACCTGATCAGTAACCTACTTTTGAGAAGCAGGAATTGGATGAGAAGCAACCTTTAATAAAAACTGCACGTAGAATCTCTCATTTCTAGAAAGTGTTTTACAAGAAGTTCTCTTTGCCTGTATTTATTAACACTTTGTACTTAGTGCTAGCAAAGGAAGACACTGCAGAACTGTATTCACTCAGATGACCTACATAGTAACAAGAGCAAAAAATCAAGACATGACAGAGTCAAACCCAAAATCCAGCCCTGCTTATACTTTGCTCTGTGTCCAAGCACTGTGCCTTAAAGATCAAGTAAAAAAAATCAAGGACATACAACTGTGTATAAAATCATGCTGCAGTACCACAGAGTGCCAGTGCTGCGGATTTAGGAGAAAGGGTTAAACTCGTGTCTTCCTAATAAAATTTAAAATAATACTCTGACATTCCTCATCCTTTTTTCCAGTAGAGGCACTCCCAAAACATTAAGTATGCCGGTACATGACTGGCCTGTACAAGTCTGTAAATTATACAAGGGGATCAATTTACCCACCCAGTTACAACCTGTAGGCTGGAGAGCTCTGGCTGTTCCAAATTAAACAGCACAAGCAGTTGAGACTATAATATACAGGTGAAATTGCAGGAGGAATCAAAGGAGGGAAATTTTAATTGCTTGGTTTGCAATAAGGAGGGATATGGTTCATATTTCTTTAGTTCTGTTTACATCTCATGAGAACTCCAGGGAACAAGCTCATCTTACCTGTGAGCACATAATCGTAGCGGTTGACCTTGTTCAGCTTCAGTCCTTCATACAGTTCATGAAGTTCATCTGAATTCAACACCTGACCCTTCCAGTGGGCATAACCTGCAAAGCAAATGCCAGATAATTTTTTTCAAGAGCTGGATTTTCTATTCCAGATCACACATTATACACCTGCAGGGACCACATCAATTATCAGCATCAAAAAGCATTTCCACCTCTTCTGTAAAACGCTGTTGCCGAATGAAAGCTGCTGTCAGCAGAACAGTTGATGTGCTCAGCTTCTTCTTAGCACTTCTGTCTCACAAAGAATGACTACACTGCAATTTGAGACTGTCCATTTACCAGCAAATCAAGCTGAGAACTCACAAGCTCCTGCAAGATTTCCCATGGAGCCTTTGCAACTACCCCTTTCCAGTGCAGAGGGTGACAAACATATGTTTTAGGCTTCACTGGAGGAGGGTGTCAGCACAACATATCTTTGTTATTTTATACTATATTAAAAGAGAAAAAATTGACAGTTAGATGACAAGCTTAAAAGGCTCGTAGATCTGTCTGTACCCAGACATGCAGCACTGCTGCACCCCATCAGATGTGGTGCTTGCTGGGACCTGCATGTTAACGAACAGACATATAATGTCATCTGACAGATTTTCTTCCAAAAATAGCACAGCTTTAGTACTGAGAATCCTGGAGGAGGAAATGAGTAGCAGAAAGACACTATAAACAGACAAATAATATCCATACACTCTTATCCTTGAATGATCTCTAAGAATTACAAGCCAATATTCTCAGCCGAGAAGTGGATGGAATGTGAAGTTACTCGGGAAAAGCTGAAATGATTTCAGCAAACAGTGGACCAAGCTCCATGGAAGCCAATTTCAAGGAAAAGAAAAATAATTTCCCTTAACAGAATCTAAATATTTATTGAAAAATGTAAATGCACCTTGCACCTTGTTTTCAAAGCCTGCTGCCCATCTAGATGGCACCAATCCCTTCCCTGTAAGAATGGGGCTTCCTCCAGGATTTTAGATGAAGCACCTACAATTTAACTCTTCCAACTTCCATAAAATCAGAGGTTGTTAAAAAGCTTACCTTTTTATTAACTGGAATTAGGAAAAGTGAAATGTTAAAATCATGTATCTTCTTCCACACCACCCCTGTGTGATAACTTCTGCTCTTGCAGTTAGGAAATTCTGTGATAAAAACTGTTGGTTTTGATTATCACTCTTAACTGTGTTATTAGAGTAACTGCCAAAAGGTGCCTGGAGCTTAGTCTAAGCACATTTTTCAGTTTTCCTTCTTATGAATGCAAATACACCCACAGTATGGTGAGCAGATGGATCATTTTGTTCTCCTCAGCTCACAAAGGCCAAGCCTCTAAAACACGACTCGCTGCCAGCTGGCTGGGGGCCTGACTCACATCAGCCACCACCACTCTCTCCCAGGCAAATGCCTTCCACAAAGTCCCTGTGAAGAAATGGACAAAGTGGGGGATTTCCACATGTCAGGGCTGTGGTTTCATTGCAGAAGACAGTGATATTCAAAACTGCAACAGCTAACACCCAGGCACACCTCTAGTTCTTCATGCACCCCGAGTGTATGAAGAACCCTTGACTACACCTAACCCCAGTAGCTGGTTAATTAACACTATGCAGATGTTTGTTCTGTCACATCTGCCGTGCCAGAGAGAAATCATCTGTCCTCTCCTCTTCCTTGAATCTCTGTAGCACTGCAAAGCCAGTACAGGGACACAACAGGGTCCTTCCATTGTGACCATGAATGAAACTGGGTGCACTTTTCACCCAGAAGCAAGATCTGCTGGCAAAAGTGCAGATTTTTGTCTCACACGTGGCCATAAATATAAATATGATAGATTGCCCAGACAATCTAGCTACTCTCAGGAGGCATCCCCTACAAATTCACCATTTAACTAAAAGTTCACCTGGATGTGTCAAGCTGTCTGTATCAAGCTGCCTTAAATACTCAATGCACGGGGTTCATGTCACATTGATCCCTACACTGAGGGGGAGAAATAAATATGGAAACACAGTGTTGGGCAGCAGCCCAGCTTAGCTCAGGAATTGGTAACTCATCCACACGGGGCAGGGACATTGAACTCTGTAGCAATGACTTCCAAAGGTTCTAAAGGAGCCTTTTTACTGCCTGGTAAAGTGTAATACAACCTAAAGTCTAATCACACAACAGCCAGAGGAAAAACAAAACCCTAGGGAAGCTCTCAGGGAAGCCCCAGCTATTCAGAGAGAAAAAAAAAAAAAAGGTGAATGCCTTCACTGGATCTGCAGAGAACTGTGATTTCACTGGGAACTGAATTATGCTGGAGTAAGAAGAAACAAACAAAATCAAAACTGGCAGCAAAATGAAAATCACCCTGAGCCCTTTCCCCAGGGAAATGTCATGTAACATGATGAACAAGGTGCAAACCCCGTGACTCTGCATTTATCCTGCTCTCCTGCTGGAATATACAACCAAAAATCAGCTTCTGTAGAGGGACAGAAGAAAAAGCCAGTTACTCATGTTCAAAAAGTGTTTCACTAACTGCAGAATGGATAAGCTGGGGTCCCAGGAAGAGGGACTATCTTGAAAGGGGTCTTCCTTGAGTCTTACTTGTTTTAGGTACAAAACCACCAAATAATTCCCCTCAGTGCTGGCCTGAGAGAACAGAGAGATCATTGCAAATCATGATCCAGCTCTCCAAAAGACCACTTGGCTCAGACTAACTGCATTAGTCTCCCAGATCTGTAAATAATTTTAAACACACAGAAGAGCATAAGCATTTAAACAACTTTATACCCCTTCTGCTTATCTGTGTTATGACCTTTTACTGCAATTATCTATTTGGTTTTAGCACATAAGGGAATGACAAACAGGTAAGATATCGTGACTTATGTCACTTATCCCTCTAAAAGGACATACATATTCATCAGTCTCCAGGGAAATATCTTGGTTCATCTGTATGAAAAAAAAAATAACAAAACCACAACCCAGAGAGGTAGCTAATACTACACCCAAGATGAATTTGCACACTTTTGTGTCTTGCCTTCCTCCACTGGTACTTTTTTTCTCCTTTGGAATGTATTTATAATCCTCTTAATTACTTTCAAAAACAAGGAAGAAAGAAAATAAAAGTCCCAAGCATATCAGAAGGGACAAAAAACCCCAACCAAGCAAGCCAGCAAAACAAAAGTAAGCTACCATTTCAGTACAGCAAGGCGTGTACTTTGTTTTCCAACCCAGAACACTCTGTTCTGAGGTTTGAGTTCCTCCTGTGGTGCTCCCTGCAAAACTATTCCAAGTGGCTTCACTACCCAAGTATTTCACATGGGAAAAAGGAAGAAAGATCTAGTGTTTAAGGCACATGATGGACAGGCAGTCTGGTTCCAGCAGCATCACAAAATTCACATGTAAACTCCGGCAGACAACCTGGTCTAAACACATGACTAATCTTTAGCTACCAGGAGGCCTTCAACAAAAACAGAAATACAGTACCAAATTCCCCACTGGATTTTTTCCAGCTGGGCAGTGTGGGAGTAAAATACTAGCAGTGTTAGGCATGAGTGGAGATCTTTTCTTTTTGCCCCTGCACACACAGGTGTGAGTGACTGCATACGGGTGGCAGACTATGAGGAATCACATCAAGACATAATTATAATTTATCACATATTAGACCTACCAGCCAACCCAACCACCCACTACACACCCACTAAGTGGAAGTCAAAAGTGCTTAGAAATAAAAAGGAACAGAAAAAAACCCCCGGGCTCTTTGTTCCAGAGCAGTTTCAAAGGTAGGATTTGGATAGCAAAGTAAGCACATTATGTGCTTGCTGGTAACCTACCAATGAAAAACAAAAATGAAAATCCCTGAGGAATTAAAAATGCACCCCAAAATATCAACAACAGAATTAAAAAAAAAAAAATCTAGATTTTAATTTTTGCACATCAGACAATGAGATGCTTCTGCAAATAGTACAGTAAAATAGAATAAAAAGCACAGTCTTTGTAGGCTGCATGACAGCTTCTTTTATTTGTACATGAAGCACGATGCCATTCAAGTGTGAGTCACTCTAATCACAAAAGATCCTCACGAAGCAACATGACAAACTGTTCTCCCAGGGGGACTGATTTAAAGCACATTTTCCAAATTTCAAGATTATCAGAGACTAAAGAAAGCTGAATTTTCTGAGCAGGAGTCAGCAGAAAGTTGCCTGTGGTAGCTTACTAATTTAAAGACAGGGCAAAAAAAGAGCAATAATGATTCACCCAAGAAAGTCTGTTAGTCATAAATTCTCTCTGCATTTTATCCTTCGCTGCCAGGACCAAGTTTAAAAACAGGGAAAGAAGGAAAGAAAGAACACCATGTCCAAAACCTCACACACTTTTCTACCTGTGCTCCTCTGGTATGTGGCATTCTTTCAGAAACTACAGTTCACAGCTAGATTTTGAAGGAGGAATTTGTCCTTCAGCTTTAATGAGGTTGCCAGAAAGGGTTCTCATAGAATTTTGTTTTTATAGGAAAATCAAGTTGCTTTCACCCATTCATCCAGCACACAGTGCTTGTGTATTGCAGCACCACTCCAGACACAAATTCTGCTTCCCAAACCCATAAGATTGTGTGGCAACCTTTGGGATTTTTTTTTAAACACATTTTCTAAGACAATCAAGATTACAGGAAAAAAAAAAAGAAATAATGTCACTGCTAAACACCAGTAGTAGTTCCTGGTGTTTATATTTTACAGACTTGTGACCTTTGAGACATCTTTGGGTTTGGGATGTTCATTTAGGTCTTCTTTTGGGGGAAGACCCTTCTACTATCCACTACCATCTACTACCCTTCTACTATCTCCACTGTCTGCCAAACCTTGAATGGAACACTGGTTTCTTTTCTCCAGCTGTGATACCATTAAAAAAAGTTTAAAAGTTTTCTTTCTTTTCTGTTTTAAGAACCTGCTCATCCTATTGGTAATGTAATTTTCCTACCTTCAGACACATTCAGTTTATGGTCAGTAAAACTACTTCTAAGCTCTTTTAATGCCGTATAAAGCTGATTTAATCTTGAAACTGAAAGCCAACAAACAACATGTGCTCACGCACCTTAAGAACCAAGTTACTCAACATGAAAAAATTGCTTAATTTCTGGAAGATTACAGGAGTTTTACCCAGCTACCAAAACCAAACAACAGAAAATCCCCAACTCCAAACCTAAACACATTAAAGAAATGGAAGTTACACCTAAGTACCTCTGAAAAACATGACAGAACCTTTGTACTGTGCCAAAGGGTACAAGCAAAATAAGCAGCTTTTTGACTGAGCCAGGAAAGGCACCCACCCCCTTGTTTAATTATTACCTCTTTCGTGCCTTTCCTTAACAAGCAGAGATGGCTTTCAAGCTACCTTTGAAACATTAATTTCTTTTTCCCAGGTTGACACTAAATTCCTTCCATAATAGGCATCTTATAATCTCTTGAAAGCTGCACGGAGCTCAACACAGTGAGAGAAGACAGAAGCTTCCTTGTCTGCTCTCTGTTCCAAAAATGACCAGTTTATTAACACAGCTGTTCCTGTGAGATACTAGGAAAGTACCTCAACATTTGTAGGGTTTTTTTTTGTTTGGTTGGTTTGTTTTTTTGGTTTTTCTTTTTTTTGGTGTCAGAAACAAGTTTTGCTCTTTTTCAAGATGTTAAAGTCTGGATTTGCTTCTTAAGACACCTGTGGAATGTCTTTATCTAGAGTAGATCTCCCCTCAAACAACCCATCACCACCAAGACAGTACATGTGTCTCTTTTGATCCAGAAACAGCAAGTCACTTGGAGCTCCTTTCTGGGTGAAAGGTATTGCTAAAATAAACATAAATTTCAGCTTTCTTTCAAAAGATAAAAGTTCTCCAGCACTCTGGATATTAATAAGTCTGATAGTATTATGTGAATGCATCATATAAATAAAATAAAATAAAAATACACCCAAATGTATTAACACCCTTCCTCCCTCCAAATTTTAGGATACTTGCTAGCCATCTGGGTAGGCAGACAAAGATAGGAAACACTGAGTCTATCTCAGTATTCTCTGATGTTTGGGTTGGTAATGTGACTATGCCTGTTATAGGGCCATAATGCACAGAAAACCATTCTGAAGACTCTCTCATTCACAGGCCCTGGCTGTGTAAATGGCCTTATTTGTGTTATTTCACTGTCTGAGTTAATTAGATTACTGCCTAACAAAGAGGAACTCACACTCTGAAGGGCAGATCAGGACATTACCACCTCATATCATGCCCTACTCCCAAATCCAGACTTCAGAGACACTTTAATCATAACATGAAGATTACATTTCCGTCCTATATCATAAAAATGTGAGCAAAAACATAAGGCAAATCTCCTCTCCACTGGCATGGAGGATGAGGTGAGCCACGTGTTGAGAGCAGAGCTGAGTGACTGTGAAGTAGTATCTGTAAAATTTTACCTGTGTGGTTTGAAAACTGGACAGAGTTCACCGTATCAACTTCAAATCCCAGAACCTGCAATAGAACACAGGGATATTTCTTTTACTAACGCAGCTTCATTAATACGTTACCGACGTCACAAAACACAAGGAAGTACTTCCAGTTTCCAGTGCACATTTAAAAATCTTGAAAGCTGAGTCAACAAACATGCAACATAAACAGTAAAGTGCTTTACTACAGCAACCAACATGGAACAAAAGTGCCGCTGGCAACAGCACCAGAAAAACAGAGCTCTGGATCCTCAGGCTGGAGTTCATTTAGGGATAAGGACAGATAGGTTGGTCCAGCAGCAATCACTGAAACCCTGAAGAGAACCTTTCTTGGCAAGAAAATATCTCTCAGGTACTAAATTAATGCAAAATATGGAAGGAGGATGCTGTTGGTATTCCAGAAAATCAATTTTTCTAAAAGGAGGACAGAAGAATCTTAAAGGGAATCAATGCTACAAGCCATAACTTGGATGTCACAATCAGCTCCTTAACAGCTAAAAATGAATAGAAAGAAATGCCAGAGAATTTATTTGGGGCATGATTGGGCAGAAAAGGGAGAAAGCTCTTAAAAACACGGAGAAAAAAAGGCCTAAAGCATGTTCCAAAAGCCACCTGGTACCTTGCATTACCAGCAATCCAAATATTAAAATATCCAAGAATTTGCGAATGCAATCAACAAACATTCCTGTTGCCCCAAAATATATGAATATTATAAAAATTACAGCATTGAATCAGGAGAAAACTAATGAGGGTTTTTAACCTCACAATACCTGCTTAATACAGGCATTGCTGGCCAAGCCATTTTTATCTCTCACGAAAGGAATTCTAATGCAAAAGTGACATTAACAGTCTGACGCTGAATATTTGTTTCCACATCCAGCTTTCTCTGAGTAAGAAATCTCCTCAAAAGATGAGCTGCTATGTATGGCTCAGTGAGTCATACTGGGAGATAAAAGGAATGATGCACCACTGTGTATGATCCTCTTTCAGGCAATTTGCTGGGAGGGGTGAGTGAAGAAACAAAGCTTTTTCAGTCACGTTTTTTTCACCGAGACTCACGACTCTCCCTTTTCAGCATGAAGGCAACCCCTTCACACACATTAAAAATCTCTGGGTGTATGTGCCAGACGTCAGGCTTTCCCTGTGCATTTACTTTCTCCGTGATAAGCCCCTTATTCCAATCCTTGTGCTGCTACAAGAAGGATGTATGTGCTGCGACAGGTCACTCCTTCTCCCTGCAGGTGCTACACTTCTGTCATTTCACAGCTGAGAGTCCACACAGGTCTTCACAGAATTCTTATTTCAGTATTTAATAAAGGTTTCTGTTCATTGCACACCAGAAAGCAAATTAATCCTTTGATAATGACAGACAGAATGGTGGGTTGCCTCAACCTGTTCAAGTTCAAATTAACTCCAGCTTCTACTCCCTGCCCAGGTTCTTGTTTCACCTTGGTGGATTTTATTTTAAAGGCTCAGGAATTCAAAGGGGTGAGAACATGACCATACTGTAATGACCTTAACCTTGATGTTTGCAGATGCTCTTCAAAGAAATAAATGATAATATGACCTCTAACCAGACTGTCACCCCATATTCAACTCCCCTCCCTGCAATGAACAGACCTAAGCAGTTCTTATTTCCTACAAATGTCTTGGCAACAATTGTGAATTAATCCACTTCAGACCATGTCTCTCCAACTATTTAATACTTGACACCACAGAACACACTTATTGTGATTTACTAACTAATCAGGTTCACACAGGGCTTTGGGGAAGGAGAGCAGGCACAGCTGCTGAAGGGAGGGCAGTTCTACAACAGAGGTAAGCACTCTCCCAGATGATGGCCACCAAAAAGAGCAGTCCTCCTCTATTCTCTCCACCAGCACCAGCTATCATTTGATTTCTAAACAAGCTTTTCTGTAGGATTAGGGACATTTGGTTTGTTTGGGCCAGTTAATCTGCTTCAACCAGCAGAAGGGAAAATACAAGTGAGGCCACCTCTCCTGCAGACAGCCAGGTGCCAGGTTAGCTCAGCTGTGCACTTGGTACAAGAGTAAAGAAAATGCTTTGAATGGTTGATGAAAAGCCACAGACAACTCAAATTCTGCAAGGGAGCTTGATATTCCCACTTTTTTCACCGGTGCAAAACAGGCTAAAAAGCCTTTAAAGGCCTCCAGAACAATCACTGGTGTTAGTTACTCTGTCACAGTTTCTAATTTGCTCTGAAGGGTTTTTTTTGAATAAACGTATATGACTAAAATCTAACACACTTAACTAGGAAACCTCATTCAACCCTCAAAATAAGCCACAGTTACTCCAAAGCACTGCCTTTTATAAAGATTCTTATAAAAACAGACGATTAAAATATACAAAATGTTATTTAAAAGCTATGTACAATTAAACTCCCTATTTAGTACTACCTTTGAAAGAAGACCAACAGATGTTAAGGCCTAGGCCCAGTATAATCAAAAAGAATGTTGAAGTCATGTTAAGCCAGGTCATGCTTGCTACCAGGGAGAATTCCATTGAAAAGTCTCATGGAATTTAGTCACCAGAAGAAGACCTGAAAACAGGGTATATTGAGTGTTGAAAGCAGCTTTTGACAGCAATCACCTCTTCTGGGGCTGCAGAGAAAACTCTTTATTTTGGTTTGTGTCGTTCATTTTAACAACCAGATCATTTACAGTGGATAGGAAATGTTTTCTCCTTCAATCAATGTTTAAAAACCAGTATTAGTAACTGTCATCCTTGCACAGCTAAAGGACCTCACACATCAGAGAGAGTTTCTGATGTACTGAATGATGAATACTTTCCCTGCTTACAAGGGGAGTTGTGTTCAAAAGATGCCTTGTTAAACCTTTTTAATACATGTAATTTAACTCCCTTTAATTCTTTGGGCAGAGCTGACTAAAAGAAGTGATTTTGAGGTTTGGGTTTTTTTCCAATTAATTAAGAATTTCTACTCAAACCAGAGGTAAAATAAATCTTAATTCTAAGTTAACTACCTAATTAGAAATACATGGGTTTTCTTATGTACAGATTTAGAAAACTGAGATAGAGTAAATGTATTGAATCACATAAACCATACTAGAAAACTGAGATAGAGTAAATGTATTGAATCACATAAACCATATAAAAAAAAAAGTCAGCCTCTCATATTTGCACACAAAAGAAAGAATATATGTCACAAAAAATATGCCTTTGGTTGGATACTAGCATTTTTTTCTAATGGCATAAGCCAGTAAAAATCCACCTTTTCTTTGGAAAATTACTAGAAAGTAAAAATTCAAAAGAGGACTCAAGTCAATATATATTAAGTTTCTTGCTTGTGTACACACATGTTCCTTGTACTTCTGTGCAACTAAACTGAGAAATTCACTCCACTTGGATTTTGCTTATTTTGCTTACAGCAGAAGTGCCTTCAGAGCATATTTGATCAGTGTCAGGACTGAGCTTACTAAGAGATGCACAATAATACTTAATTTATTGCTTCTCTGTACCATCTTGAAATAGTCCACAGCCATGCTACTTTCCCTGCTCCCTACAGCAAGTGTCCTGTGGGGATATTCCTGCCTCTGGTTTTAGAAATGTAGGTGACACCAGACACTCTGCAAGTGTCCAAGGGCTCCAGCTGCCAGGGATGCACATCACCTACGCTACCACCATCCCCTGATTTGGATGATCTGGTCTCCCACAGGCCCTCCAGCAGAGAACAATTCCAGGTTTCCACGCTCTCCCTCTGCTGTCATTCTGTGTAAGTGTCATTAGCCCACAGAACTGCAAATCTTGGGCAAATCTAAAGCCATCACCAGTTTGGGTAAGGATGATAAGAGCTCTTCAAAGGAAAAAGATGACTAAGTTCGTCCCAAATCTCTCAGCCTCCAGTCTAAGTACGTGTCAAACACTGTTCTTCTTAAGACACAAATTAAAATTGCCTATATCACATCAGTGACATTTACTGCAATTGAAATCTCAGAGGAAAATGGGCAAATTTAATGTATTTTTAAGTATCTTCAAGCAGGGAGGCAGAACTGTTAAACTTCTAAAATTAAATCACTAACCATCAAAACTGGAGGAGTCCTGTATTTGGAAGGCATGGCTGGCAGATGTGAATGACACATTTCAGAAAAATATTTGGAAGATTAAATCAAAATACACACACCAGAGCAGAATGCATTAGAAGAAACAGCCAGCATGAAGCACACATGCCAACATTACGTATGAGATGAAGTTGGGCTGAGCTCTTCATCACAAATAACTGAAGGAAAGGGAAAACATCATCCAGTTCTTCCCACAGTGCAGACACCGCTATCCCAGCCTTGTAAAGAGAAGGTGCATCACCTGGGCAGGCACCTGGTCTAGAGAATTATCTCTAGATAATTCCAAACTAGCAAATGTTCAAGGGAAAAATCAACACAAAAGAAAGGAAGAGACTTCAAAATACGTTGACAACCTCTAAAGGTGTCGGCTCTTTTTTGAAAACAGGACCAACCAGTTTTATCCAGAAGGACAGAAGAATTCAAACTCAAGCCACAAATAAAAAGCCAAGAAATGGGTCCCCTTCAGGATTCAAATTTTACATGTGATACCAGTTGTTTTACTAGGACAACAACCTAATGATCCAGCCAAACAGAAAAAGTCTTAAGTTGGGCAAGTTACATAAATAGCAAGATCTCAGTTAGGGTTCACCTCTAGTAATGCAACTCTTTGGACTTTGCCACTGTGTTACCACACTAATTAGAGCTTTGTTTAAAATTTACAGCCTCTCTTCCTTCCAGAAAACATTTCAATATACAAACACTGAAACAAACCAGTACCTAAGCAATAGAGAAATGAACAGGGAGACTTTGAAGCAAGTACAACATCTCAAATCCAGTTTTAATGATTGCTAAGCTTTATGTTTATATTTGTGTAATCTACATTATGTACCAATGGTCTTGAGATAAATAAAAGTACTCATTTGTACCTCCTAATACTATTTGGTATCTGATTGTTAACACCACTTGAGACAGAAAACTGTTCACTTCA